CTCTCTCTCTCTCTCTCTCTCTCTCTCTCTCTCTCTCTCTCTCTCTCTCTCTCTCTCTCGTACTCATACCCCTACCCAAGTAAGGGAACTGTGGGGAGAAAGTACAACTTCAAGGAAATGAAAAGACATTGTGTGAACTTTGGGTAGCAGGTGGGTTTTGTCCTTGTGATGTTGGTCCAATGAAGACAGTGAATGGCAAGAAAGGGGACTCAAACCAAAGCAAGAACTGTTTAGATTCCCTAGGGAACACATCTAGTTAGGACAGGGAATCCTGTGGGGGAGGAGAAGAAAAAAAAGATTAGATTCGGGATTAGGCAGATGTACATGCGCTGCTGAGCCATGGGACTGGCAACCCTGGGTTGAAGAAAAGGCTTCTTACTAAGTGGGGGTGACCGTTAGGGACCTGACGCTGCCATCCCAGGCTGCATTTTCCTGGTGATTCTTGGCCCTTAAAAGATCTCCTGCTCTTATCTTTAGTTTCCCTTCCCCGCGAGGCCACAGAGGTCCGGAGAGGTTAAACCTGTTTCTGCAGGACCGAACCCATAAAGGAGAACCTGGCCCGTGATAGGTTAAAGGCAGCCCACTCCCCATAAATAAGCAATAGCCCAGCCCAAAATGCTAAAAGGACCTTCCTCTCTTTGTTCCTCTCCTTCCTTCTCTCCTTCTCTCTCCTGTCTCTCTTTTCTCTTCTTCCCTCTCTCCTCTCCCCCTAACCTGCCTTCCCTAATAAAATCTCCTGTCGGACCTCTCGGTGTGTGGCATCGCTGTGCCTCTACAGTGACGGCTGTTGAAAATTTATAAAACACATTGACACTGTGGCATTATCACTTCTTTAATGGAGGGTGACTGTCTGAGGTCGATCAATCCTCTGAATGCCTACAAGGGGGATGGGAGGACTAAAGAAAAAAAAAGACAGTAGAGACTTGCGTAATTTCAAAGTACATGGGGGCGGGAGGTCAGCGCCTCCCTCAAGCTCGCCTGTATTTATTGGGTTCATGGGGGTATCAGGTGACTCAGAGCAGCGATAACCCTAAATTCAGGGGGATTTTATAATCGGAGGGCGAATCAGATGGCTCAGAGGGTGGCAGTAATCATAAGCTGAGGAGGAGGAGGAGGATCTTAGGTCCCTGCGGAGTTTGTGTTGATTGGGACATTGAAATAAGCAGAATGCTCTTACCGCAGTGGGTAGGATGAGTTAAACTGAGGAAGTTGTCCCTCCTCGGGTGGAACCGTCCTCTTTTTGTATTACTAGAACCAGGATGTCTTCAGCTGATGTAATCTTGTTCTTGAGTGTCACAGCATCACGGGACTATTGAGGCCTCAAACAGCCCTCGTCATAATTTAGTTGTGAAATGATTTTCCCCCAAAATTATGTAAAATGGCTCCTGAGAGGGGGCACGCTCAGAGGCCTGAGAGGTAGACTCCGTAGTTGGGCTAAGCCAGCGGGCACCTCTGAACGCCAGTAAGGAGGGGAGAACAGCACTAGTGGGACCTGCCTGAAGCCGTCAGCCTGGGGGCTGTGGATGCCCCTCGGGCCATGAAAGGGGTGACCCTATCTGATGCAGGGGTTTTAGTTGTATCAAGATGATGCGGTTTGCATAAGCACAGGCGTGCCTGGGCTGGCACAGTGCACCTGCACACACCCCACTCTGAGATCAGAGTATTCACCCCTCCCATCTTGCACACCACAGCTGCCCTTGGTTGTAAGAACAGACAGGGATTTGGATGTTGCTTCTTCAGTTCCTTTTAGCTTCTTTGCAATAATATACTCCAATAAACAAGGGAAAGAATTGGTACCTAGACTGACAGCCCAGCCAACTGGAAATAACATAAATAATTCAATGTAAAATAAAAGTGAAACAGTAGTACACAGTTCCATGCATTGATTGATACATTGTTTTAAACAGGGCACTAATTGATTTCACAAACATTTTAGGAGTGTTTTCCTCTGAGGCTCTGCTCTGAGCACTGGGCCACAGAACAGCAAGCTAATAAGCAAAAGCTGCTCTCTCAGAAGCTTTGTGCTCTGGAGAGCGCACATCTCACTCCCACCCCTAAGGGGCCATTCTTAGGATCTGTCATCCCTCACTCACATATAGTAATGAAGGTCTTTTTTTTTTTTTTTTTTAAGGGAGAAGAAAATGGCTTTCCAGACAATATTGGAGATCCCCTGTTAGGTAAGTGATCCACCCTGGAGATATCAGGGGTGTGGTGATACCTAAACGTGCCTAAATTGAAGTTAATTTGAGGATGGGTTTATTATTAACTTTCGTGTGTGGCTTTATAATTTTACATGTCAATCGGTAGTTTAGTCTCATGTATCTTGATTATAGGTTTCTGAAGGTGGCAACAGGTACAGGTAACCAAGCTGTAGAGCTTGTTTGGTATCTTTTCATCTTCACTGTGTTTTCTGGACAGTGCACACAGATACGGCATGGGACCTTCCTTATCCCTTTGGCCCTGACAGCTCTGTCGTGTGCAGTATCTAAGGGCACGTCTGGAGGCCACTCGTGCCTACTACACTTGTGAATGTTGGTGAAGTCTTGGGTCACCACCTTGTGGGGTCAGAACACCATCTTTTCTTCCTTCCACCTTCTCATGAACACTGCTGCCTGGCTAAGTTGGAAAGGACTGAGGGAAAACCAACTGTGAATGTTTAAAATCTGTCCTACAGAACAGAGCAACTTTCCGTACTACTTGCCATGGAGAAGGTCAAGGAAAGATGTATTTTACAAAGTTTCACAAGTATCTTTGAAGAGTATTTTCTCTGTACTAACCCACCTTTAGTGTATTCATCTACAGAAACATTTGCCCCTTTACACCATCCTTTTTGCAGACGTGGGGATGGAGCCCAGTGCCTCCTGCATGCTAGAGAGGTGCTGTCCCACTGAGCTTCACCCCCAGCCTGTGTATGTGTGTGTAGGGGTATAAATATATGTATATATCTTTCTAAGAAGAAATCCACATTTAAAGTTTTTAAGAACTAATACCCTCCACATTAATGTGGCATGTCAGCTAAAATAAAAACAAATAAGTAAAATTATTTAGGAATAGCTCCAAACCCTTGAAGTTCTCATAAGAGTTAGGGCCATTATTAGTTCACAGATGAACTTTAATCAAGCTGCTGATTGTCTCCAGAAATTTTTACTTGTGTCAAAATGAACAGAAGCCTGGCATGCGGGACGCCCTGGGCTCAATTCCCAGTGCCGCAAAAACAAGCAAAGAAACACACTCAGGAGTGTTCCGAGGAGGATGAACTTTCATGACAGCCGGTGACATCAGTGTGTGCTGCGAACCCACCCAAGCTGCTCTTGAGAGCAGAAACGGTGCTGTTACAATCGGGGTCTGCAGCTTCTTGCATGGTGCCTGGCCCCACAGGGGCCAGAGTGTTATTTGCCTTGTTTTCCATAAACAAACGAGTGAGTGGACTCGGTGGCCGCTGGTTTAGCACCTGCCATATACCAGGTGCTCCTCTAAATGCTTTGCAGAGGTGGGATGGACTGAGGGTGGGCCTGCATGTTGGCGCTGTTCACCTCGTCACCCTACACGCGTGGTGAGGGAGGCATGACAGGGTCACACAGGAGTAAATAGGCGTCAAGGCCTTGGCGTGGCTTTGGCTGCCCCCAGGGATATAGCAGGATGCCGCTGGGGCCTGTGCAGTGCGCCCCTGGGCAGTCGAGTGTCCTTTGGGAATGTGGGGTTCAGACTCCACTGCCTCATTCAGATGAAATCCTGAGGTGCAGAGCACAGCCAGAGGTCACTCTGGTCCCCCCAGTCTCTGTATGGCTAAAATGCCTTCCTTTACAGAAGCTTTCTACTTTCTATGAGTAAGGTTCTGGCCTTAATTCAAGGCCTGATTTTAATTTAATTCATGTACTTTGGAAACCGCAGCTATCTGTGGTGCAGTCTACAACTAGTTAAAACGGGAAGTGGGTGTGGTGGTTTGTGCCTGTAATCCCAGCACTCTGGGAGGCTGGGAAAGGAAGGTCCTAAATTCAAATCCAGACAATTTAGCAATTTAGGAGACCTTATCTGAAATTAGAAAAAAAAAAAAAAGGGCTGCAGTTCCGTGCAAAGGCCCTGGATTCAACCCCCAGTAGCAAAAAGGAAGGGAGAGAGGGAGGGAGGGACAGAGAGAGAAGGAGGGAAAGACACAAGGTGGAGCACCCTGTTGTGGAACACAGGACTGGATTAGTAGTACAGAATGACAGCAAGAGTTTGCAATCAAGAAAAGTGGGAGGATACAAGTCAGAACCACCTGCAGATGCCAGCATCTCCTAGGGCAAGGCACAAGAAACACATTCCCAACAGTCCCTGTGCTAAAACCACAACAACAAATTGTGCCCCACTTATGCTATTAGTGGAGACACAAAAGTTTTGCAGTGCTTTTATGCAGATTTTCAAAATGAAAACATTTCAGCTGGGTGTGGCAGCACACACCTATAATCCCAGCACTCAGAGGCTGAGGCAGGAGGATGGCTGTGAGTTCCAGACCAGCCTGGGCTGCATAGTGAGTTCCAGGTCAGTCTCAATTACATAGTGAGACCCTGTCTCAAAAAAAACAAAACAAAACAAAACAGAATGAAAACATTTGGGCATTAAAGGAATAAGGCTTAGTTACACTATGTTTAAAACATTCCCCAAATTGGAAGATTGCATTTCCCCAGTTTGCCCAGTGAACTGAGGGAAACTCTTGCCGTGGTGTTTTCTCCTAGGTGAGTAATATGACATGTCCCCTGACACTTTGCCTGCTCTGGCCAGTTTTTCAGGGATGACCTTCAGGTGACCTCGCCTAGTTCCACACCTCCCTGAGCTAAAATTAACTTCCCCATAGAAATGAATGTAAAGTACTATTTTGATATTTTCAGGTTGGGTCCATAAAGTGACCTTTGGTTCCTATGTTTGAGTCCCATCATTTCAGAACCAAACAATTCAAACTTAAGTAAAAATTATTTCGTTTAACCTGGGTCCTTTTATGTATATAAGAGTGGGTCTCTTCTACACTCCAGTTTTGTTTGATGACAAAATTGAGGCGCAGTGTAATCAATTTGCCTGAATCCACCCCATTTCAATGAGAGTCTCCAGAGCTATGGCCCATGTGGTTTTTCCCTTTGGTTAAGATCAGACACCTACCAAAAGCCCTTGGTCAGTTTTTTCTGAGATAAAAAATAATTCTTTATCACTTTCGAGCTCATCATGTCTCACTGCTTCTGATACTGTGGCATGTGTGCACCCCGACCCGTTTACTTATTGAAGCCAGAAACTGGAATTTTTAATATATTTACTTCCAACCACACAGGAAGCCACCCAGAAAAAAAGCATGAAAGTGCACTCTAATACGCATAACTACAGAAGTATGTGATTCTGTGTGACACGATCTGGTTATTTTGCAGGCTCCAAATCTGATAATGTATAAGACACCCGGGGTGGAGTTAATTCTATTTTGGGACCACAACACTGCCAACAGAAAGTGTTTACAGTTCATTGATTTGAACTAACGCAAGGCCTCATTGGTTATCCCAGGGAACTCCATTCCGAGCCACTGGGGAGCCAACATGGGTGCTGAGCACAGGGCAGTGAAGGAGGGTGCGGTAAGAGCTCCCGAGAAGCCTGGGTGTGTGAGATAAAAGGGCACCGTCCCTGCAGCGGGACGCGTGAGGTCCGAATTTCATCCGCTGCCAACACCCTGACTGCCGCCGCTTCCAGGCTCAAAGTTGTAACCTCTGTGAATTCTGAACCTCATTCCAGTGCACAGTTAACTGCTCATTCACTGGTGTTTCATAGTACACGGTTCCCAAAGGTGACAGCTGTATGTGGCACTGCTGCACATTAACTGTTTCCGAAGATTGCTTTAAATGGGATTGACATTCCCTGTCAATGAACATACCTGATCCTGAACTCCTCTTCAAAGTATAGTGTGAAATGCACGAACGAGGAAGGATGGAGAGTAAGGAGAGAGAGGGAGGAAATGCCCCACAGGGAAGTCCACTCCTCTGCTGGTGGCTGTGGAAACACTAGGTACCCAGGCACTCTTTATTTTATTTTTTAAGAGACCAGATCTCACCATGTTGCCCAGGCCAACCTCGAACTTCGGGGCTCAAGTGATCCTCTTGCTTCAGCCTTCCAAGTAGCTGGGACTAGCGGAGCACATCATGGCACCCAGCAACTCTTAAAGAAAGCAGCTAGTGCTCACTTCAGCAGCACATATATTAAAGAAAGTGGCTATAATGCCAAAATCTAACTCAGCTCCTAATTGTTTACTCTGGAAGTATCTGAAAGACAGTGATTTGTGATTTTCAGCCCTGGCTGCACTTGAGATTCTGGTGGGTAGGAGGGACAGATTTTAAAATTCCCATGTTGTGCCTGCACCTCAGACTAATTAAATAAGGATCTCAGTGGGTGGAGCCAGACATCAAACTATTGTAAATTTCCCCCAGGGGATGAAGGGGGTGGGAGGGTTCCACCCCAGAACAAAGTTGAGAACAAACTGCTTTAGAAGGCTGTTGGTGATTATCCCTCATCCACAGCTGTGTGTTGTTCCTCATTTACCATGTACTAGGACAGGGCTTTAATGGATTAGCTCCTTTAACCCTCACAGCCACCTCATGCAATAGGTGTTGTTTTCCCAGCCCAAGGAGCTTAGCATGCTTGGTAACCAGTACAACCACAGACTTTAGCTATCTGTCCAAGGTGCATGCTGGAAATCTGCAGGTAGACAGTGGACCTTCTCCACAGCGACTGGTCATCTTCGGCCTTGTGTATTCTCCATAAACTTTAGCTGTTGAGCTGGGCCAGGTGATGTACACCTGTAATCCCAACAGTCTGAGAGGCTGAAGCAGGAGGATCACAAGTTTCAGTCTGGCCTGGGGAATTTAGGAAGTTAGCCTGTCTAAAAATGGAAAAATAAGGGGGCAGGGCTGGGAATGTGGCTGGGTGTGAAAATACTGGGTTCAGTCTCCAATACTAGAAAAAAGGTGCCCATTCACTTGAAAATGTCTAGCAGTGCCTCATGAGCTGTCCAGAGGTTTCTGATACGACTTTTCTTTTGCTTATGTCACACCCTTCATTCGTTTGATTTATTGAGCACTACTGTATACCTGGCATGCAGCAGAGACATCAAGCATCGCAGTCCTTTTCCACTTGGAGTGTATATTCTAGTTGAGAGAGACAAGCAATA